GTGTGTGTGTGTGTGTGTGTGTGTGTGTGTGTGTGTGTGTGTGTGTGTCATAGCATGTGCATAAGTCCCGGGACAGTCTGCAGGAATCAGCTCTCTTCCTCCGCTATGTGGGTCCCGGGGCTCACACTCAGATCCTCGGACTTCACGCAGATGCCCTGACCCGCTGAGTCACCTCGCTGGCCCTAAGCCTGAGAGTCAACCAATCACGAAAACATCTACACACAAGTGAATGTCTATATACATACAGCAATAAACGAGAACATGCAGATATTCACTGGTTTCTCTCTTTCTTTTTTCTCTTTTACTTATTTATTTATTTATTATTTTTTGAGACAGGATCTCCTAAGCAGCTCAAGGCAGATTCCAGTGTGATATTCCTCTGCCTCAGCATCCAGAGCATTGGGATAAAGATGTGTGCCTCCATGCCCAGCTTCCCTCTGGTTTGGAAAACAGAATCTTTTGTATCTGACACAATAGTGGTTATGTGAGATAAAATCATTCTACCAATAATTACCTAAGGCAAAATTAAATTCTGTCCCTTTCAAGGGAAGCTGCCCAACAAATATTAGGAAGAATGTGGTGAACTTTGTCTTTCTGGTGCATCTTTAGTGAGTTTAAATATGACAGCATTTCATCAAATTTGTATGTTACAGACTCAGTTACTTTAAATTGTTCACATTCCAATAACCAGTTTAACAAACATCTTAATTCAGAAGATGATGGAATCAAAGCCTGTTTAAATAAACATATACATTTATGGACATCACACACACACACACACGAATAAGCCTATCCAAATGAAGCACTAACAGCCCAATGCCGGTCAGGTCCCATCAGATGAGGAATGTCATGTGACTACTCTGCTCTTCCCTAGCAGCAAGCCCCTGGGGACAGAGGCGAGAGGTTGACTGCCCCAGGTTTGAGCCTGTGCATGTTAAATCCAAGAGGTTCACAAAGGTTGCCCGGATCTCTGGATGAATTCAATAGCTCCCTCGTGTTCTTCTGACTCTGTCTTAACCCAACACAGTCCAATCTCTACTGAGCAGCCAAAGATGGCCAAAAACATAAACCAGGGCTAGGGTGGTATGGCGCTTCTGCAATCCCAGCATTCAGGAGGCTGATACAAAAGATCCTACTGTTTCAAATGTGTGTGTGTGTGTGTGTGTGTGTGTGTGTG